GAGACCTAGCTTTCCCTTTGCCCTGCCTATCCTGGCCTAGCTGCCCACTTGGCCCAATCTCGGGCCCCCATAGCCAACCACCTGGCCCAGAAGGCAGTCTAAGCCCAGCTTCAGTTTTCCCAGCTATCAGCTGGGAGCATCAGCCCAGGGTAGATGAAGACATTCAGAGAAGCCAACATGGAATGCACACAAGAGGTGTTTAGTCAGCTCACCTGCTTGCCTTCGGTTCCCCTCTTCTTTTCTTCACCTTTTGGAAGAGTAGAAGGACTGGGCCAAAGCAGCAGGGTCCCCTGGTCAAGTCATCCATGACCCTGTCTCCGCACCAGCCTGTCCTGACTCTACTCCCATGTCTGGGCCAGGCCAGACCACGCTGGGCCATTCAAGGGGAGGTAGCCATTCAAGGGGAGAGAGGCCAGGCTGCAGGCTGGGTGGGGGAGCAGCCTATAAATCAAGCCCCACTCCCACCCAGTCACTAACAAGCGGGCTGCCTACCCGCCTACGTGGGGTCTCTGCCTCTGGGCTCCCACAGCGGCCTGCAATAGCCAGCCAGCCAAGGCCTCCAGAGTGCCTTGGCCTCCGCCCCCACCCACGGCCCCCGGATAGATAGGGGTATTTTTTTTTTTTTTTTTTTTTAGTTTTAGAAGAAGAAAAAAATAGACCTAAATGAAGAGAAACACCAACAAAGAAGGAGAGAGGCCTGCAGAGTCACGTGGGGGCAGAGACCAATTGGGCCTCCGGTGCCCCCCCACCCCAGGGCGGAGAGGAGGAGGAGGACGAACGGACAGGGCCAGCCTGCCGTCCGCCCGCCGCCCGCCGTGGCGAGAAGGAGTTCCTGTGTGCCCACGATTGCCACTGCTCCACCTGGGCTGCCGGATCCTCCTTCCGGACTCCCGGTGTCCACTGTCCACCCTCATCTGGCGTAATAGCTCACCTTCCGCTCTGTAAGTGAGGGCCTGGGCCCAGGCCTCTAAAGGCCATCCTCTCTCCTCAGTGCCTCCCTGCGGCCTGGGCCAGCCACTGCCTGCTTTGCTGAGTGACTGGTGCCTACTGCCCTGGGCAAGGAAGGGACCACTGGTCTCCTCAGACCTGCCCTCCCACCATGTTAGCCCTCTTCTTCCCTGAGCGGCTTATGGGAGGAGCTAGGCCTGTGGGGACAGGCTTATGGGGGTCTGTGAGTGTTCCAATGTCTATCTGTGGCCGGGTGTCCACGGGGATGTGTCTGTCTGAGTCCAGTAGTCTGTGAGTGTGTACACGGGTCTCTAGGCCCCTGTCTTCGTGCTCTGGGTCTCCCCGCCTGTGTGTCTGTGTGACTCTGTGGATGTCTCTGAGCTATATGTATCTGTGGCTCAGTCTCTAGTGTCCATCTGTCAGCTCCGGTCTGTGGCTAGGCCGGGTGTATGTGGGGAGAAGAGGGTCCTCTGCCTCCCTGGGTTATGCGGGTGGAGGGCTGTAGTCACACACACATTGGGCTGAAACTTGGACTGTGGGGGGCCACAGCGGAGCCTTGAGTGTTAACCCGAGGACTCCCTAACCTGTGATAGGAGAACCTCTGGAGGAAAAGGGGTTGAGGTAGAGGAAGAAGGGAAGAACTGGCTCAGAGCTCAGTCCCCCACCCAACCTGGCCCCCCAGCCCAGACTTGTGCTCACATTGCTTGGGTCTTCTTCTGGGTCAAGAAACCCCAGGTGGACTCTAACCTAGGGAAGCCACTAGTGCCCTCCCAGCCCAGCCCTGTCCCCTGTAGCCCCCCTGCCTTCCCCTGCAGAGATAGTACCTCTCCTGTTTTCCATTTTCTGAAGGCCCCTCCCCTCATGGGGGCCCGTCCAGAGGCAAAAGTACTACCCTCCCCCCAACCTCCCAACCCCCCTCCCCGCTCTGGCAAATGATGTTGTTTCTTAGAGATTTGGAGTAGGGGTGGTGGCCTGCGACAAACTCCCTCTGACTGTCTCTCCCTCCTCACCAAGATTTAGGCTCATGGACTCTCATGGAAACCACTGAGCCCCGTCTGTAGGGCCCACCTTTTCCATTTTATAGACGGAGAAACTGAGGCTCAGAAAGGTGACGTGACCTGCCTGAGCTTGCACAGCAAGTCAACAGCAGATTCTGCCCCTCATTTCGCGGGGTGAGCAAGATGAGGGCTGATCTGTGCCGGTTCACTGGGCCTTGGGTCCCAGGACTAAGGCGCCAGCTCTGGCAGAAGCGGGAGGCCTCGCGAGCCCAAGCCGGGCAGGCCACGGCCAAGGGTCCAAGCCTTCCGGCCTCAGCCTTTAGGTTGGCTGCGTCGCTGCGGCAGCATGACTGTAGTATTTCTCAGCATTAAGAAAGTTTCTTGGCCTCACTGCTACCAACTCTCACTCTCCGAACCCAGGTGCCTGAGGAAGCCGGCGTAGGATGTTAGTGGATCCCTTCCTCTTTAGCGTCTCAAATTCTTCATCTGAAAAACGGGAGTGGTCCGGTGGTTGTTCCTCAGCCCTGCGCAACTGCTTCGCCAGGCTGACCCATAGACCCCTCTGTCCCTGAGGCTGCAGGGCGCTCCCGTCCCACGCCCCTAGCCGGGGTGGGAGCGCAGAGCGCGAGGAAGTGGGGACGGGGTTTCTTCCGCGCGGGGCTCTGTTTTCCCAACGCAGCCGCTCCCCGTGTGGCTTCCGGTCCTCAAGAGACCCTGGGAGACATGCAGAGTGGGACCACCACGACTCCCTTCCCATTTCCCGACGAGCAAACTGAGGCTCATGGAGGAGACAGGGTTTGCTCCAGCTTTCCCAGCTGAACGCGTTGCTGGGCGCTTCCTCCATGCCCCGAGTGTGCTTTGCCAACACCATTCGAGTTCATCCGCACGACCACCCTAACGGAAGTACAGTCAACATTCCCATTTCACAGATGAGGAGATTGAGGACCAGAGAGGAGGGAGGTTTGATTAAGGCTCGAGTGAGGAGTTGGGGCTGCGCCAGAGCAAGAATCTGGTTTCCAGCCTTGAACCTGGGCCTTAGCCACTGTCTCCCCACGCTCGCCCTCACCCACATCCATGCTGCAAAACGACCGGAGAGCCCTGAGCGTGACCCTCGCTACCACTAAACGGAACATGCAAACAGGGGCTCACTTCCTCCCACCGCAGGCGGGTGAACCAGCGCTCCCCGACGCGCGGTACCTGCCCGGATCCCGGGGCGCCCGCCTTCTGCCGCCTCCTGGACGCGCGTGGGCTCGGAGATGGACTGGAACTGGGAGGGTGAGGATGAGGATGAGGGCGCCAGCCTGCTGGGGGTGGGGAGGGCGAGGGCCGGCCCTCCGCCCCCGGTTAACGCACGCGGAGATATAGAGGGGCCGGTCCCGGGTCCGGTGAGGAGGCTTCGCGCACCACGCATTGGCTGCGGAGGGGCCCGGGTCCCAGGTGCGCCTTGGTTCGGCCCCGGCGGCGCGGGGGGGCCAGGAGGCGGGGGATAGGGAGCGCCG